CAATTACAGTTGTTTCAGAACTGGAATTCGTTATATTGGGGGGGAGGGGGGAAGGGTAGGAACCCTTGCTGATTCAGAGCAAATCTCCTCCCCCGAAGTTTTAAAATTTCCACAAAACAAAATGTTTGAAAAAGTCAAGTTTTGAATTTGACTTCGTTTCGTGCGCTTTTCACATTAAGCGTTTCTTTCCTACAAGGCACAGGACTATGTTTCAGCTACACCAGACTAACACGGCTACATTTCTATCACTTTCCTAGAAGGTATCCTTGTCAAATACATTTCAAACTGACAAGTCATTTCAAAATTAAGAAAGAGGGAATGTCGTATTCTGACCTAAAAAGTTTTGCTTTGCTTTCCGCTGTTCTCTCTGTGATTTCTCTTTGTATTTTGTAATCTCTATGCTAAAATGCGTTTGGAAAAGAAATGGCAGAACTCCAGTGTCAACTTTGCTTTTCACTTCTTTCTTTTAAAATACACGATCAAGAGAATCAGTGTGGCTACGTCTACACTGGCATGATTTTCTGAAGATGCTTTTAACGGAAAAGTTTTCCGTTAAAAGCATTTTCAGAAAAGCGCGTCTAGATTGACAGGATGCTTTTCCGCAAAAGCACTTTTTGCAGAAAAGCGTCCGTGGCCAATCTAGACGCGCTTTTCCGCAAAAAAGCCCCAATCCCCATTTTCGCCATCGGGGCCTTTTTGTACAAAACAAATCTGAGCTGTCTACACTGGCCCTTTTGCGCAAAAGTCTTTCGGGAAAAGACTTTTGCCCGAACGGGAGCAGCATAGTATTTCCGGAAAAGCACTGACACTCTTACATGCGATCGTCAGTGCTTTTGCGGAAATTCAAGCGGCCAGTGTAGACAGCTGGCAAGTTTTTCCGCAAAAGCAGATGATTTTGCGGAAAAACTTGCCAGTCTAGACACAGCCTGTGGCTATGTCTACACTGGCAGCTTCTTGTGCAAGAAAATCATGCGCAAGGGTTCTTGTGCAAGAACTCTTGTGCAAGAACACGTCCACACTGCCATGTGCGAGCTGTGCTTTTGTGCAAGAGCATTCATGGCAGTGTGGATGCTCTCTTTAGCAAGAAAGCTGCAATGGCCATTTTAGCCATAGGGCTTTCTTGCGCAAGCAATCCCTGCCGAGCGTCCACACTGCCCTCTTGTGCAAGAGCTCCTGTGCGAGAGGGCTTACACCGGTTAAAAAAGAGCGTAGCTCTTGTGCAAGAAGCCCTCTCTTACCACGCCGGACTGTAAATTTCCTTGTGCAAGAGCGGGTGGGCAGTATGGATGCTCTGAGGATTCTTGCACAAGAATGGTTGTACTTGCACAAGAAGCTGCGAGTGTAGACATAGCGGCTACGTCTAGATTGCATTCCTTTTTCGGAAAATGGATGCAAATTAGACGTATTGCAATTGCTAATGAAGCGGGGATTTAAATCTCCCCCGCTTCATTAGCATCAAAATGGCTGCTGCTTTTTTTCGGCACGGAGCTCTGCCAGAAAAAAGCGCCAGTCTAGACGCGGATCTTTCGGAAAATAAAGCCTTTTCCGAAAGATCCCTTATCCCTCTTAAAATAAGTGATATAGTGCCTTGTATTCGTTCCTGTGTCGACTATAATACACAAGCCACGTCAACCCAAAATAGCAGAAAGTTTCAACTTTGCTTTTCTTGCCATTTCTTCATCTTGCATTTGATTTTACATTATTTCATTTTTCTAAATATTTTCAGTTTGCATTTTGTACGACTCCGCTTATAGTAGACCAGAAACCAGCCCCAGTTTCAAAAGGAAAAACTGGAATTCCTATATTGCAATGTCAGCTTTGTTTTTCTTGATCTTGCATTTCATTTGTATGTAGTCATTCCTCATTTCACACTATAGAGATGTTTCGGAAAATGGTCGTGTTAAGTGAAAACGTGTTATGCGGGGACAATTTTCCCATTGAACATAATGGAAAAGGTGGGGGTGTGTTTCAAGGTGTGGTGTCTGTTCAGATTGGGACATAAGGTTGGGGGAGAAAGGGGGCTGGGGTACAGCAGGGAGGGGAGGTGTTTGGCTCTGGGGAAGGGAAGGGGAGGAGAGGGGAGGGGGATTGGATGGGGAGTATGCACTGCATTCGCTGGAGAATGGCGCGGCAAGCCAATGCCGCTTTGCAGGGAGGAGGGGTAAGCCGCACGCAGCCGCTGGCGACGGGCTGGCTGGAGAAATCGTGTTATTCCGGGGACGGTCGTGTAATTCAAAAAACCTTCCCTAAAAAAAATCGTGCTATCGCAAAAACATGTTACGCGGGCACATGTTAAATGAGGAATTCCTGTATTTTAAAACCTTCCCTATTAGTAATATATTCCAAAGCGAAAATCTCTTTGAAATGACAAATGGGAGTGTTTGAAACGGACCAAAACATTTCAGACGGGGTTTGTCTTTTCATTTCTTAATTTTGTATTTTATTTGATCTGTTGGAATCTCTACAATCCCATTCTTATTTATCATCGAATAGAAAATCAAATCCCTTTCAAAAGGCGAAGTCCCTTCAAAAGGAAAACGCAGAACATCTCTTTGTCTTGTCATCTCTCGTGCTTCTATTTTACTGTATCTTAGTCCCACTTTTCTATTTTTATTTCTAGTCTAGTCCTCATTGGAAATGAGACATGGGAATGCTTTGCCCTTGTGTTTTGAAATTAAATTCCCTTTGCACTGGCTTGCTCTCGGGGTGGTTTTTGGTTTCGAATCAGATGAATTGGCATTTCCTAGCAGCGAAAGGTCCCATCAGACAATTTTCTGTCTCCCCCGACCGACTTCTCCCCTGGATTGGCACCTGCAGGGGTGCTCAGACACTGCACCGCGACCCCCTCCTGACCGTGGAAGGTGCTCCGTGACCTCAGGAAGGTGGCCCAAACCTGTGCCTACCCCGGTGGGGGTGCCGGCCCCCTAGGCCACAGAGTTCAGACTTCGGCGTAGTCCCTGGGCAAATCTAACGCCAGCCCCGGCGATCCCATTACAGACGGGGTGGTGAGTCGCTTTGGGGTCCCGAGCCGCAGCTGGAGACCAGCCACACAAGCGTGTCCAGTTCTCTGCTTCTGCCCTGAGTCTGGGCAGGCTGGCAGGCTCATCTCCTGGTGCAGGGGCGGCCAAGTGCCTCAGCCACGCGTCGCCAGTTCTCCGGGGCAGGCGCTTTCCGTTCTCAGTGCCACTGCGGAGTCGGTCTGGGCAGGGAAGACACAGCTCCCACCACCTTCCAGCACCAGAACGGCTCTCTGCTGCACAGGCCTTCCACGGCCAGCTGTCTGACTTGGCCAGCAGGGACAGAGGGAGATGGGTCCTGGGGCTGGCGGGCTGGTGGGACACAGACAGGGAGATACAGAGCTGTGCCTGGGAACGACTGGATGGAGAAATAGATACATGGGGTGCATGGGGATTGCTTGGTTGGTAGCTACAGGTTGGAGCACAGAGATACATAGAGAGAGGAGTGCATGAGGATAGATAGATAGATAGATAGATAGATAGATAGATAGATAGATAGATAGATAGATAGATAGAGGGGCTGTGGGGATAGACAGATATGGGGATGGATAGACAGACAGATACATAGTTAGAAGGGGTTGGAGATAGATAGATAGATAGATAGATAGATAGATAGATAGATAGATAGATAGATAGATAGATAGATAGATAGATAGATAGATAGATAGATAGATAGAGGGGGTGTGTGGGGATGGATAGATAGAGGGGGTGTGTGGGGATAGATTGATACAGAGATAGAAGAGGTTTATGGGGATGGATGGTTTGAGGGATGGATGGACGAATGGAGGTACATGGGGGCAGGGACGGAGGGCCAGAGGGGCATGCATGGGGTCGTGCAGACAGACAGACGGGGGCGGAGATGCCAACGATAGATAGAGGGGGTGTGTGGGGATGGATAGATAGAGGGGGTGTGTGGGGATAGATTGATACAGAGATAGAAGAGGTTTATGGGGATGGATGGTTTGAGGGATGGATGGACGAATGGAGGTACATGGGGGCAGGGACGGAGGGCCAGAGGGGCATGCATGGGGTCGTGCAGACAGACAGACGGGGGCGGAGATGCCAACAGACAGACAGGGGGTGACACTGGAGGCCCGGGTGGAGACAGCTCTGTCGATCGGGCTGGGGTCAGGTGGACGAGACCTGGGGGCTGCGGGCGCCACAGACGGACCCTGGATTTGCTCACACTGATCCCCTATGGGTGTGAGCGGGCGGGACGGGGGTCATGGGGTCGTGCAGACAGACAGACGGGGGCGGAGATGCCAACAGACAGACAGGGGGTGACACTGGAGGCCCGGGTGGAGACAGCTCTGTCGATCGGGCTGGGGTCAGGTGGACGAGACCTGGGGGCTGCGGGCGCCACAGACGGACCCTGGATTTGCTCACACTGATCCCCTATGGGTGTGAGCGGGCGGGACGGGGGTGCACCCCGAGAGCCCCCTCCCCACCACAGGCTCCCTCCCGGCAGCCCTTTGTCAGGGCCCCGGGCTCTGGGCGCAGCGTCCCCTCGCTGCCCGGTCCCCCCGGGCCCCCTGCCCCGTGCC